AAGATCCAAACACATATAACCAAGATTGATTCAAACAATGTGGGTTGGATCATTGTCTTCATGATTTGAAAATGTTTGAATCATGTTAACAATTTTAAGGTCTTCTTGCATACATAGACCCTTGATAAAATTAAGGTGAGCTTTTTCCTTCCAAATGTCTTCAAGTAAGCAAGTTAATGCTTCTTGATCCTTTTTAGCTTTAGCTCTTGTCATTGGCCCTCCATGAATGGTTAAAGGATCTTGCTTCTTGATGTTACTTCCAACCTTAGTCGAATCATTCCCTTGCTGATTCATATCATTCCCCCTTTCGAAAGGATTCATCCTTGAATCATCACCTTCAATATCCGCATCAAACAAAGTTAAATCGAAACATTAAAAGTGGCAATTACATTGCCATACTTGGTAAATCCAGCTTGTATGCATTATCATTGATTCTTTGAAGGACCTGAAATCAACCATCTCCTCTTAGCATCAATTTTGACTTCCTTTGGCAAGGAAATCTCTCTTTCCTCAAGTGTACCCAAACCCAATCACTAAGTTCAAATACAATCTTCTTATGGTTCTTGTTGTGTTGCTTTTCATATTGAAGAGTTCTCTTTTCTATTTGTGTGCGCACCCTTTCATGCAAGGCTTTGACAAACCCAGCCTTTTGTTCGCCATCCAAATTAGCTTTATCAATTGATAAAGGTAGCAAATCCATAGGAGTTTATGGATTGTACCCGTACACAACCTCAAATGGAGAATGGCTAGTTGTAGCTTGCATAGTTTGGTTGTAAGAAAATTCCATATGTGGCAAACAAGTCCTCCCAAATCTTCAAGTTTCTTTGAAGTATGGCTCTTAAAAGTGTGGAGAGAGTCCTATTTACCACTTTTATTTGTCCATCTATTTGTGGATGACAAGTTGAATACAATAGCCTTGTAACCAACTTGCTCCAAAACGTTTTCCAAAAGTGGCTAAGGATATCTTCATTTTCCTGCAAAAGATCAACAATAACACTAGGCAAACTCTTGTCAATTTCGTTTGAAATAATTAAAACACCCTTGTACATAAGTACAAGGCCTACCTCATGGTTAATGCTTTCTTCACGTCACTCATTTTTGCATAAACACTCATTTTTCTTTCACTCGATTCTTCCTTGTTTTCTCTCCCCTCATGTTTCCCATTGCTCATATTTTTACCACTAAACTCACCATTTTCTTTTTTCTCTCTTCCTTGCTCGCTCCCTAAAGTTTCTATCAATGAAGAAGCAAGCTCTTCATATTGTTGTTGTATGCGCATTTGCCTTTGGTGATAAAGTTCCGAGTTGAAACTTCTGTCCATCCATTATCAAAGAGTAACGAGTTCTTGAAGCCATCATGAATCACCTTCCTATCATATTGCCATGGTCTTTCTAGCAACATATGCCTAGCATACATAGGTACCACATCACAACATACCTCATCATTATATCTACCAATGGAGAAAGAAACTAATACTTGCTGATTCACCTTCATAGGACCACTATCGTTCAACCATTGTAATTTGTATGGTTTTGGATGTTTAATAGTAAGTAATTTTAGTTTCTCCACAAGTACTAACAACATTATACAACTTCCACTATCAACAATCGAATTACATAATTATTAGCAATTAAACAATGAGTATGAAATAGATTTTCACGTTGTTCACCATATACATTATTTTTACGTTGCAAGCTATGTGCATTGTACAACCAATGTTTCTCCTCTAGCAAATTCAACGTCACTAGCATCTTCTAATGGTGGCATACAACGCACATTTATTCTCTCTTCCTTACTCCCTCCCTAATGTTTCTATTCTCTTTAGGTGACAAGATAAAGTAGAGTCCTTTAAGGGTTAAGAGTGGCATGTTAGCCTATTTAAAGGCTAGTTTAGTTCTACTTTAGACTCGACACAATAATTTGAAGAGTTAATAAATTTAAAAGGATTTTCTTTCTTTGTTCTTTTGAGAAATAAATCTGACTTATCAAGGATTGCAAGCCTTGTTGCATCTCTAAACTTATCATCCTCCATTGGGTGTGGCGTTCTTCACTCCATTGCATCATAGCTTTGGTTCTTGCCTCCTTATAGGCAACGGGTTAGGTTTCGCTTATTATAACCTAATTGGGTGCATTCTTGGGGTTGTCTAGTGATAAATTTATTTGGGTCTCTCATCTTTATACATGGGGTTCACATCAATTATATCAATAAGAGAGATATAATACCATCACTAAAGTGGAATATTATACCTAACATATTAATCTTTGGAGGACTCATCATATATAAATCCTTATCACTATGAGATAGTAGAATTTGGGTATAGGGAAAGCATCAACCTATACATAAATAGTTATATATCATTAATCATATACCATAAATCTATCCCACTTATACATTGTCATTCTCCAACAATATAAGAACAATATACCCTATTTATGGTCATAAATCATAAAATAATTATAGTAATCCCTACAATATCATTAGATATCATCATTTTATATAAATATTCTCTAGTCCCATCGACTGGTATATAACTATTTATATATAGGTAGGAAAGTTATAAATAAATGATCTCTATATATCATTATACCCTATAATCCCAAGGAACATGACTAATGGAATAAGAGGTTAATAATTAAGCATTATATAAAATAACTATTTATTTAGGTATTTAAATAAAAACTAAGAGGCATGTTCCTTGGGATAACAATTTAGTCATGTTCCTTGGACTATTAGCTTAACCTTAAAATATGTAATCATATTATGTGTATATTATGGTTAACAATGTTATCCTAATTAATCTCCACATTTAGACATATTGGCAAATCAATCCCTAACTAGTAGCATGTGCCCTTATTGCTAATAGTTCTAATTGACCCATTCTATGTGTATTTTTCTATAGAATCATATTATAGGGTTGCTTTAACCTCTATATTATGCCTCTTTTAAAGGACAATGATAATATTAATATGGGAAATTAAGAGGTAATATTATTATGTTATATCTTCAAGATTACCCTAGGATCATAGTTAGACTACACTTTGTAATAGACTAAATCAAGTGTACTTTTGGAAACGGATATGTCCTATTAGCACAACTTACTGAAATATCCACAGAGAGTTGTAACTAAACTAGGCATATCATTACTCCATAAATGATATTGGAGTGGGTTTACCTAGGAAATACCACATAATGCCCCGATAGTCATATCATCCATACAATGGTACTTTTAACTAGGTGTGAAGTACTAGAATGTAAGCAAAAAGTACATCTATACTCTATGAATGTATGATAATAACCATTAGATACAAGGATAGACAATGGTATTATTCCCATGATTAATAAATAGTTTATCTTTATTTGATAAATATTGGTTCACAATTAAGTTATGCTAATAGGTCATCCTTACTAATACCCTGGGGTTGTGATAGGGCCATAAAACTCGTGTCAACTATCCTAGGATAATACCATGGGTCTGGTACAATCTTATTTGATGGAGGCATAAACAAGTTTTATCAATATTTAACTTGTATTTTACTGATTTTACTAGGACCCTAATAGAGCTATAATGTAATTATGAAATTTAACGAATCTAAGTGATTAGCTAGTGATAGGGCCATAATTATTAGCGATATTGTACTAAATGTCCCCATTACTAATATAATAACCCAAACATAGATATTAGTTATGATGTTCAATGATTTAGTCTATTATTTGGCTAATATTCGAATAATCATTAGGATATATATATATATAATATATTAAATGGTATGCACATTAATATGGAACATTATACCCTTAATTTATATAGGGGTAGCCATGAAATGGAACCATCAAATTAGCCATATTTTCATGATCTTGCCATATTGTTATTCTATTACTTGTTTGGCCTAATATTTATATTATAGTTGGTGTTTTTTGTGAATA